CCAGTCTTCAAGTAACATGGAAGACTGGCTTATCCACACAGAAGCAGCTCTCATCGGCTCTACAGCTACTGTCTCTACACCGCAGGTTAGACACCCTAGAGCAGCACTGCTTCTCTAAGCAGACACCAGCTCCTCTTCCTGCCCCAAGCACCACGTCCTACCGACCCCAGCACACCCGTCCTGCCTCAGATGCCGCCCCCAGCCCAGCAGTAACCCCTGCCGCCCCTGATGCGGCCCCTGCTCCTGATGCGGACCAACACACCCGTCCTGCCTCAGACGCCGACCCCGGCCCAGCAGTAACCCCTGCCGCCCCTGACGCGGCCTCTGTTCCTGAGTGCGGACCCACACACACCCCTCTTTTCTCCCTCAGGTACTCCCTGCTAATGTCCTGCACCCTGCTGCTGTCGTGGACCCAGCTGCTGTCACGAGCCCTTATCCGCTTCTGCTGACGCAGCCCCTGCTCCTGACCCAGGCCCACACACACCCCAGCAGGCGCATCTGACGACTCAGTACCTGCCGTGAGGGAAGCACACAACATCCATCGCCTCCACACACCCTTTTTTCTCCCTCAGGTACTCCCTGCTAATGTCCTGCACCCTGCTGCTGTCGTGGACCCAGCTGCTGTCACGAGCCCTTATCCGCTTCTGCTGACGCAGCCCCTGCTCCTGACCCAGGCCCACACACACCCCAGCAGGCGCATCTGACAACCCTGTACCTGTCGTGAGGGAAGCACAACATTCATCGCCTCCACACACCCTTTTTCTCCCTTCTCCCACAGATATTGTGTATCTAGACAGTTGTATTCAGCGATCGGCTCATTCACGCCATCGCCGTTGTCTCACATGAGGCATGCACTGCCCGGTCTGCCTCACATGTGCTAAGCAACTCTACAGACAACAAGTCTCCTACACCGCCTGGAGGGAAGGGGGAGTATTGTAGTGGACGTCTCCCCTACATCTGCGTAGCCGCAGCCACCAGCTGCTACCATCTTCCCCAGCAACCAAACTAGCGGCCCAGGCGGCGGCGTCACCAGATGCCGCAGTATCCTAGCAACGGAGCCAAAGACCGGCGACTTTCTCGGGTTTTCCCAACATGACTCATAGATGACTCACGGCTGCTGGGTATATAAGCTCTGTCTCTCCATTGAGATTCATTCTGCTCTCGGTTCCTGAACACGCAACACCTCCTCCAGCAAGCTCCTCGCTGTCCAGCTTTCATTCAACCTGGAGGCCAGCAACAGGCAACATCTTCTCTAACGAAGTTCCTGCACATCTACCTCCTTCAACACCCTACTCACCGAACGTCTCTACTGAGCAGCTCCTCACCACACGGCACCTCCAGCACCAGACTGTCTATCATATAACTTATATTATACAAGAAAACCACCTTAGAGTTTCCATCCATCCTGAGTGCTAGACAACATTATATCACGAACCCTACAATTTTATCTCCATTAAAAATACATTATACAGTACAGTAAGTTACAGCAAATGTACGGTACAAAATAGTAATATCAGGCAACACATTCCAAGAACTAGCGACTAATTACAGAGGATGCATTGAATGTGATCCAAAACAATATCAGTGAATAAAACATTCTAAGAAAAATTAAGATTATAAAAGTAAAATGATTAAGAAATGGAAGTTAATAACAAACACCAAATCATTCTAAGAAAATTTAGAAATGATACAACTGGTCTTATAGTACACACAATAATGGTAGCAGCTGAGAGGATACATCACTTGCCTCTATAGTTCTAAGGGTCACTGGTTCACACATTAGTTCTAGGGTTGTGGGGTACGAGATGTTGGTTCACACTCAGGATGGGATGGAGAAAGGAAACTCACAATGTGCTCTCTCTATACATATTGTATTGGATGTACAATGCAGCTTGGTGCTGGGAAGGCAGCATGGTTACAAGCGTGATGTAGAGAGAGCTGGTTGGTGAGGGTGCTCAGAGGAGGACCAACTTGTGGGTCGCTATGGTCGCCGGCTGGAGCGGGAGCCGCCAGGCAGGAGGAGGAGGTGTTGCTTGCTGGTGGCTGTGGGTAGAAAGAGGGGTAGGTCACCACGAGGTGAGGTCTTATATAGCGGAGGTAGGCGTGGCTTAATAGTTGACCTCAGTCATGTAAGGCGGCGCTGGTTGCTGACCTAGACCACGAGGCATACACTGGGGAACTCGAGGGTCGGCTAGTCAGCGACAAACGGCATTTGTAAGGGAGGAATCCACTACAGGGTCACTGGTTCACACATTGGGTACCCCAAGTTCACCTAGCTGTCAATGGATACAGGAATTCCCCAATTTATGAAAGAATTCTGTTACTGATAAAACTTTCGTAAATTATTTTTTCATGCTGGATCACATTTTCTCGTACTCCCATTATAATATCAATGGTAAGATAAGAGTACATACATTCCTCCGAAAAAAGAAACTCCCGGAAATAGTGTACACAATTATTATAAGCCAATAATAAACATAATAAATGCAATATATGCTATGCAGTAAGTATTTTATTTACACTCCTCCATATAAATGTTTGCGGACGATAACAAATTATTCAGGAAAATTAAGAACCAAACTGACCGTGAAGAGCTACAGAATGTGATCTCTGTGAGCTTCAAGAATGGTCGGTGAAATGGCTGCTAAGATACAATCACGAAGTGTAAGAGGGAGGTAGCAGCGATACACCTTGGTCTGAGGTCAAGGAATATTTCTTGATCTAGGTCGTACCAACAGTAAGGAGGCGTGTCACATGTCCCACCAGAACGAAGAAATTGCATTAATAGAGACCGAATATTAAAAGGACCTGGGTGGGTCTTGGTCCCCAAGATACGCTAGAGACTCAGTTGGTTGAAAATATCCGAAGGAGAGCCACCAGACTGGTGCCTCAGTGCCTGCACTACCCTCAGCAACCCAGAGAGATTAGAAAGCCTGTAACTGCCTAGCTTATACTACAGACGGGCGATGGGGGGGGGTGGGCTATTTGAAGTGTATAAACATCTCAGGGGGCACTACTCAGTACTCAGTCGAGTGTACGTACCTGACTGGAGCTGGCGGACACTCGCCCCACAAGGGGTCACAGCTCAAGGTTGAAGAAGTCAAAGTCCAGAAAACTGCGATGGTAAACTTTTTCGGAGCGAGAATTGTGAACTCTTGGAACAGTCTGCCAGGGAGTGTTGTGAGGGCACCGAGTGTGAATTCTTCAAAGAATCAACACTGGAACAGGTTCAGATACACTCGGGAGCCAGTGCATGCCTATAAATAGTACAGTACTTGCCAACAGTGCGTAACAGAATAAGTCATGTGACCGACCGTTCAACCTGCTTACGAGCCGATCAGTGGTTAAGAGGATAAAAGTAAAAGTGAACAGTATGAAACGCTAAATCAACATTTTAAATAAATATAATGAAAACAGTACCTGGAACATTTACTACCTATCTGTCCACTGCATAATCCTAACCCTCAGGTACGTACGGCTTTACGGTGTTTAATTATCAGGTTAAATAAACTGGGGGCTAATCTTCCAGTAATCTGAATGTTTCTCTGATAACTTGTTAGGGCCAAGTATCTTTTAAGAAACAATGAGAATGCCGATCTTGATTATTTTATGTTTTATGGGTCAGAAATATAACAAACACTTGAGTTAGAGTCATGAGTGGAAGAAACTGGTGGACTACTGATGACCAGCGGGTGTACTTAAAACTCATTTGCGATCAATTTGAGTGAATAAAAGATGCGTAAATCATTGTATTGTTTATATACTTGATGAATAAATGTGAACATGTATGACAATTTTACTAAATGAATATATATCTACATAAATCTATCTATCATATTATATGTACTTACTCTGTGTGACAGTGAATATGACCAAACGAATGGTTTAGTTATAACAGGTTCTAAGGAGTTGTCTAAGTCGATTCTAAAATTATTTCTACACCTTTATTTTCCTTGTCCTATAAGCATGTAACCTATAATAGTACTGTATGTTCTAAGCAACTTACAACTGGACTTCCATCTATGTCATATCAAGACACATTTACTTATGATTCAACCTCGATAGATGAGAGAAGACGATTTAAACCACAGGCTGTACTGATGCTAATTTCTGTGCGCAGGCTAAAAAACTATTAAGATTTAACATTAATGTCAAGGGTAATGATTAATTAACCAATAGTAATTATAAATTTCTATTGAACCAAAAATGACAGTGACAATGTAACAATTGATCTTAAATTTTAAATCCCCGTTACTGCTGCGTTACCTTAAGCAATCTGTATACTGTATAATTGCAACTTAATATATAGACTAACTTGCAGATTCTAAGGAAACCTTCTATGGATTAAATCCTTTCACACACTTTTGAATATCGCCACATTATTTTAAAAGTCTTCGACCGGTCAGGTAACACAGGTCGACCTCTCCTTCAACCTTTCCAAATGGGATCCTTCTATTTACTTGGAATTAAGGGAAATTATTGTTTGGCTTGGCTTATCTATTTAATCTGGTTCTCAATAAATTATTCTTCACTATGGTATCAAGTCTCACAGGTACCAAAATACCATAGCAAATTAAAATAGAATACGGTGCCAGTGAGAGTGAAAGGGTGGACCCTAGATCACCTCCCCTGCGCCGGCTGCTCAGAGTTTTTTTTACAGTATCAGACTTGTAGTTTTTTGGTTATGGTATTAGATATATAATAAATAATATAAATTGATCTTAAAATCTGATGACATTGTATAAGACCAACTAAGGGTTAAGGAAGGAGTGGGTCTTAGTCCTATCGATTGGTTCCATTGATTGAATGAATGGACTCCTGAGGGGCGTACACCTTTACAGATTAAGACAGTAATATTATCTATCTTTCATAATAAAACCAAAGAAAAATAATACTTTTAAAATATATTTCATTATAAATAAATAATCTAGATCATAAGGAAAGTTTTTATCTCAATATAGCTTTATGGTTAAAGTATCTTAGTTTATAAAGATGTTAGGAGGAGATTAACGAGTGTTATGGCAAGATGGCCTCCCTTCCATCTCCCACCCAGGTATAAACTTTCCTCTATACTCCTCCATTCTCCGCCCTATTGGGGGATTGAGAACAGACAGATTTAAAGTTTTGTGTTAAATAGAGAGTGAGTGTGAGAATTACCGTGGTTCAGTTACCATAGACGTGAAATAGAGGAGTTAAAGGTAGACCCGCCTCCCTGTTTGGGTCGATGGCGGTCAAGTGTACAGAGAAATTGTCGTGTTTTAACTATTATTTCTGATAATTATCGTAATTAGTTGGTTCTGATTGAAATATTTGACCAATCTATTAATATATATTAGAAGATTAGCGATCCCAGTCTTCTCAGAATAGATAGGAAGACTAAGGTACCTGTCAATAAAATGCCCCGACCTAGGGTGACAGGAGGCCGTGTCTGGACCTCCCCTGTCTCTACCCCTCCTGTCTCTACCCCGCCTGTCTCTACCCCTCCTAAGCCCCAGGTGATGAGACTTACAACCATCAGCGGCTGTTTGAAAAGTCGATTATATTTCTATTGTAAATCATGTGGGGCAGCAGTGATATTTGTAACAATTTGGTGGATATTTAGAGTTATTCCCTCCAGATATATCTATAATTTTATATTGATGAATCATTGGGAATCCTCATTTTAAGGATTTTTCATTGATTATATACTTGGTCTAAAGGATATGAAGTTATATTTATGTAACATTTTAGCCTACTTATCAAGTGTTGCTAACCTCACCTTAACTTAACCCAAACTAAAGTTTTTGGCTGTGGAGATTTGTCTGGTTGTTGGTTAGGTAGGTTTTTTAGACTAACACCAGAAGGATTGGATGAAACTTAGTGGTTTTTCTCCAGAACACACTATGTTGACTCGTTGCCTCCTTATTTTTAACGTAAACCCTAGTCAATTTTACGACTGTAATTTTCATAATTTAGCAGACAAAATTACTGTCAATGCAGACTATGTTATTTCACAGAAAAGTTAGCTAATTCTTTTGCCAGTGCAAGCTAATGTAGAAACTGTCCTGCTTAGTCATTCTGTACTCTATAGGTTAAATAAAAACAGACTGTGCCATCAAAAACAGGAGTGCCAGTTATTTCAAATAAGTTTGTTCTTGTTTCTACTTGTTTGCCACATACTGTCTACTGTAGTACTGCATTTGATGAATATTTGTGATAATTTGAATGCACAGTCTAGTTTTATTATTGAAAAGAACTGTGGAATTATAATATGGTAAGTATACATCTGGTGAATGTTTTGCCGTGATATACAGTACATTGTGTCGTGAGCCAGACACCGAGAGAGTGTTGTCCAGACCTCTTACTGGTGCTGTTTTGTCTACGAGACCATAAAAATATTCTGTTGGTGGAAAACATTATTTGTATTATAGCCTTTAACCCCTTCATTATGGGAATGCCACTTTTAATATTTTATTTGGCTAATGCCAGATGATTTTATTGAGCACAGAGGGGATCCCATATACAAGTGGTTAGGAGTTCAAAAACAGTACGTACAGGTAAAATTTTGTATGATAGAACAAATACTGCCTTCAGAAATATTGGGATGTATTTTTCAGAGGAAATTCCATAATACAGTATTGAAGAGAGATTTCTAAAATAAAATTATTACAGTTGGGAATTTTGTCACAAAAGTCAAAGTCATACATATACAGTATACTGTATATGTACAGTAATAGATTAGAAAGAATATTCTCTGGCAAAATTATGTTTCCATAAGTTGCATTTGCTGGTGCTACATGGTAAACACAAAAGCAGACAATCAATAAATCTTTAGACATCTTGGCACTGTACAGCACAGTGTTTGATGGCATAAATTACATTGATCAATTTTTTATCTACTGTACTATGTACTGGTATACAGGATACCTGTATTATGTTTTTATTTTTTTTATAAATGGTGATATCTTATGGTAAGCATAATAAGATAGGGTTGTTTGGGTAACTAGAAGCAAATTTACTTTTTACTCCTAATTTGTAGTAATTATAAAATAAAAGGCTGCTACTCAGGTTAATTTTTTGTTCACTTATCAGTAAACTAACATAATAATCAAACTATTATCAGATGGTAAATCAGTGTATTGTTCATTGCAGGTGGCGGGAGACCAGGCAGGAGTATTTGAGGCCTGGTACAGGAAAGTAGACCCAAGTGGTGGAGGCACAATCCAGGCTGGCACTGCTGCTGAGTTCCTCAAGAAATCTGGACTTAATGACAACATTCTTAGTCGAGTGAGTATAGTGACTTTTGAGAAGCATGTGGTGTTGTGTAGGTTATAAGGACGTGTATAAATTTCACGAATGTTAATGAAGGAACTTTCAGTAGGTGAGAAACTACTGGAAGCGACATGATAGTTATCTGACTCGGGGACCAAAAAGAAATTCAAGAATTAAATTTTTAGGGAAATTATTTTCAGCAAGTTACCAATTGTATTTCTTTAATGGTATTTGTTGAATCATTTATGTGCATTGTTCTAGAGGAACTCACTGAATTGTTATTGATGAACAGGGTGATATAGCTATCTGAAGGAGTTGCTGCTAACTTAATAGTCAGTCCTGTTATGCTCTCTGCTTCCTCAGTTATCATATTAAGTGTAACATTTATTGATCCTACATGTTCTAGACAGAATGGAATTGACTTGAAAATAAGAGTGAGGGGGTTTAGAAATTGTAACTTAGCTTCTTTTATCAAATGCAGACCTCCAGAATCAAATCTGCTCAGCCTGTTGCCAGCTTTCCACTTACAAAAATGAAGTTGAAAATTCTGTAAAAAACTTGCTGACTCTTGGTTTCTAAATATTGTGTTCTCCTTTTAATTGTATCTGTGGAGATGTATTGATTTTGTCCATGCCCTTTTTTTTCTACTTGCTAACCGAACTAGCACAAATAAGCCTTTTTCTTACCTAGTTTAAGTTTTACTTCCTTTGAATGAATGTGTTGATGCCAGTTGTGATGCTTTTGTGTGTGTCATTGGTAAAGTGATGGGAATTTAACGCTTACATAACAAGTTTAGTCTGAACTTCCCCTGATACCTGTATAAAAAAAAATATTCTTTAGGAAGCATCAAATGGTGTTGACTGCATTTAAAGGGTTAATAGTGTATAGGGAGTTTATAGATTGATTACCTTTTCTCACATTAAAGGTTATTTGTTCCTCTGCAGATATGGGACCTGAGTGATCCTGGGGGTAAAGGCTACCTAGATAAGAGTGGCCTATTTGTAGCATTAAAGATGGTGGCATTGGTACAAAGTGGAAAGGAACCCTCCGTTGGTAATATCCACCTCCCCACAGCTCCCCCCAATATGGTAATGTATAAAGACCTGTTTTTGTGGCTTAAGTACTGGACCTAGTAGGTTTATCATCAGTGTTATTAATTATCTCGATATGTTTATTGATTATCTAAGTCCACCTAAGGTTAGCCAGTAAATTATTTAGGTACAGTGTATCAATTTTGCTGACTTAATGCCAATATCTTAAAAATACAGTATATGAAATGACACAGTGGCCTGTTTTACAGACATCAAAGAAATATTCATCCAGTCAGTAATTTGAGCTGGCAAAGGCCAACTTGAGTCCAGGCTTAAAGGATAACTTCAGAGTGAATTAATTTGGAAGGTTGGTAAGGGGAGACATAGCAGTTTTGCTGACCCAGTTTGTCCAGCCAAGTTTATTGCCATTACTCTGTTATTCTTTAGCAGTCCTCTTGCTTTTTTTTTGCAGTCTTGTTTAAATGATTTGCATATCATTCCTTAGAATATTGAAGGATTTGTAAATCATTTCTTAAATACCCAACCAGTTTATCTGCTATTGTGTTTTCTATCTGAATCTTTTTTCTTTTCTTTTTTCTTTTTTCATTCTGGGAACTTCCCCTTCCATGCTTATGAAACTTGTTTATATTTTAGTTTTTAGTAGTAGTACTATACATTAGTAATATTCTAGATACTGTTTTTCCAGGGTGAACCTCCTCCTCATCCACCACCACCAGTAAAACCCCCACTGCCCCACCAAGCACCTGCCACAGCTGCAGTTGGGGTTGCTCCTGCAGCTGCTACGGCTGTCTGGATGATAACTCCTACAGACCGGGCGCGCTATGACCAAATATTTAATTCCTTGGGACCAGAGGCAAATAAACTACATGGCAATAAGGTATAAACTTTAATGACTTTGGATGTTTCAGAAATTACTTTTGAGATCTGTATTTTATCAGATAGAAATTAATGTTGTTGTCCAGTGTTTTGTCATCTTAAGGATTATATACCGTCATTTGGGGGACTACAGTACTTGTTTTATTTTTTGTCAGAGTAGCTCCTCAATATCTGAGTAGAAGTTGATTTTTAGTGGAAGATTATAAAAATTTTCATGGTTGATGGGCGGCTAAGATGAATATTTGCAGCTGATTGAATTCATTTAGAGTGCTGATGAGTAGAAGTTATCCACCTCTAGTGTTGAATCAATTATTTATTACATGTTTTTGTTGTTGATAAAACTCTTAATAACTAATGTAATGTTCATTATTTAAACTTATTTCTTTGACTCCTTTAGGTTAGAAGTGTGATGCTCAATTCTAAGCTTCCCATGGAAATACTGGGCAAGATATGGGATTTATCAGACATGGATAAAGATGGCTCTCTTGACCGGGTAGAATTTTCTCTTGTAAGTATTATTTTTTCCCTTTGCTATAAATAGGTTATTGAATTTGGAAGATTACGTAATTTAACGTTGTTAATGCCCAGATATAACGACAGCCATCGGGATATTGTATTTGTAATTATCACAAATGAATTGTTCAAGCTTACCCGGTAATTGTTTAATTGCATAGAGCATTTAAGTGGTGCATGCATTATTCATTTATAGAGTTGCAATTGTCCACATCTGTGTATTATATGGGCATACAATGAGACATCATAGAGTACAGTAATATCTCTGTTAGCCGGAATCCCTCAAACCCGGAATTCTCCAATAGCCGGAATTGAAATTTTCTCGAAAAATCATTCCCAATGCCGAAATTTTCCGGAAAATTCCGGCTTTGGGAATGATTTTCCGGAAAATTCCTAGAAAACTTTCCCTATTCCCGGAATTTTCCGAGGATAGGGAAGTTTTTTCTGGGTTTGAGAGATGAAAATCGGGCGCATTTTCCGGAAATTCCAATAAAAATTTAACGTTTCCCGGAAAATTCCGGAGATGATGGATATTTTTCCGGGTTCGAGAGATGATGTAATGGGCAATTTCTGGAACCTTCCTGGAAAATTTTTCCCTTACCCGGAAAATTCCGGGGATGAGGGATTTTTTCCGGCTTTGAGACAGTCGTCTCGTTACCCGGGAAATCTCTCATTCCCGGAAGTGCTCTGCACCAATTGTTCCGGCTAGCGGGGATATCTCTGTACGTCATTCTGTAGGTGATTGGCTGAGGTGCTGCTTCCAGTTTGTAATGCCTCAAATGATGGTGTTGTGATAAATTTTACATGACAACAGTTTACACACACTGTACTGTATATATGACAGGGAAGGGTATATTTCCTAAGTATAAATGGAAAGATGATAAGAATTGAGGTAAAATTTCAGTGTAGAGGAATAGTAAAGTCTGTTGTGTATGCCAAGGAAATATGAGAAAAAACCTATGTATGAAGTGTTGAAATTTATCACATGGATGCTGTCCAGAGTTTATGTAGGGAGAGGGAAGCCATGATAATCCAGGCAAGTGTGGAAAATAGCTGTAAAATGAAGATGATGAGTGAAGATTAAGTTAGTTTGTTGGGAAGAAAGAAATCAGTTCCCAGTGAAAGTAAGGCCTACAAGTATGTTCAATGTCACTATGGGTGTTTGATGTACTATTTGTGGGTGGGGCGATAAGATAAGTGAATACAAGAGTGCCAGAGGGGAAGTGAATCAGAGATGGTTTGTAGGTGACACAACATACTGTAACTGGGTGTTTCAGAGGAGATGTTACAAATGTTAGTGGTTCTAGGAGGAAGTTGACAGTGAATGTGGACAAAAAATAAAAACAAATGATGGAAGTAAGTGAAGAAGGGAGACATGGAGAAATATATTTTAGTTCGAATGGAGATAGAATAGTGGAAGTAGACTGTTTGAGATGTTTGAGTATGGATGTGTTAGAAAATGGAATGGTGGATGGTAAGACAGGGCGGAGGAGATGGATGGATGGATGGATTTAGTAAATGGAATGATGGATGGTAGGAAGGAGAGGGGAAGACAGAGGAGATAGATGGATGAAGTGAAGGATGAACTGAAGGATGAACTGGATGTGAATGTGATAGACATCCAGGAAGCAGCCGAGTGCACAAATGAGCCAAGTGTGGCACTGAAAGAAAATAAATGATGGGATAAATGTGTGTGAATACTTGCTTTTCCTTCTTGTCACTACAGTGTGATGAATATAGTACTGTAAACTTTCTATGGAATCCTACTCTGCAATTATCTTTAGATTATTTCCTTATACTGTACCTGTATTTGAGTGTTTCTTCCACAGGCACTGCGCATCCAATATACAGTTTTAGAAAGCATTTTTTCTTCAACAGGCGATGCATTTAATATACAAGGTTTTAGAAAACAATCCCTTGCCACCGTCTGTGCCACAAGAAATGCTGTCCAGTGCACAACGGGCTGGTGTAGCGCAAGGCCCAGTACCAGCACCCCTTGCACCACCCTCCCAGGTGACACCGACAAATGTTGCTAAACAGCAGCCTAGCAAGGTAAGTGGAGTGAACTACTGTTTGCTTTAATCCTTTAGTGATTCGTGAGCTTATCAGTGTAATCTTAAAGTTGAATTGAAAGCTTCTCAGAAGGACCTCAGATTTTTTATGTTAATGAGTTCTTCCTCATTGATCTCTTTGATTAACCCTCTGGTGCATGCAATAAGTTTGTAAGTTTCTGTGACCACAACAAAAGTCATAATAGGACCTGTCATCACCACTCACATGTGGTCTGGGCATCTTTTTTCTGTGGCCAATTGATCCCACAAGAATGTTTTGTTTTTTAATAATTTATACATCATTGGCTTTGCTATTGTTTTGGTTTTAAGATAAATAAGATGAAAAAAAAGATCATATTTTTTCACCCCAAATAAAGAAAAAAGTTTTTGTTCCCAACATCATATCTCGGACATTTTCTCACAAACTGACGGAGTGTATCATAATTAAGAAGAATTTTTTATGAGCTTTCCAAGGGTGGCTTTAAAAATTTTATGTCTAATAGTTTTGGAGAAACTTGCAAAAAACTAAAAAAATACCCATTTAGTGCATTGTGTAGCTTGTGATGTTAGGGAGAGAAAGGTGGTCTTATATATCCGGTAGCACCTATGGTTATCACATCGATCTTTGAATTTGGTGGGCTGGCATTTTTCCAAGAGTCATGCTCCTAGCCCCACTACATTTTTTTATGTTTGTAATGTATATACGTAATCATAGTGTATGAATTATGCTTATATTCAGTTATATACATAAATTTAAAAATTAATTTATATAAACATACTGTACAGTATAAGCCATTTACATGATCTACTGTATATGTGGCAGAGGCAGTGGTAACAACTAGCTGCTTGCCATTCTTGATCTGTTTTCCTAATTTTGTTTCCTTGCCACCATCATTTTCACTATAACTGCTTTATAATTCCTCGAGGTAGGAAGTAGTTTCCTCGTCTCAGATGTTTCCCATGATAATGAACCTTGTGAGTCATGTTGCATTATTTTTTTGAACGAATATCAAATATTTTCTGTGTAAAAATAACAAAAAACACTTTACAGACACTTAGAATTACTTGAAAAATTATTTCTAAAACGTGTATAGCAGGTGGAATGGGGAGAGTTTGAGAGGAGTTAAAGGGACAGAGACGTAATCTACCAGCTTGGCTGACAGGAGAAGACCGGTAAACAATTGACCTGCGCTTATCTCCACCCATGAGGTGGTACTTTTTGGAAGCTTGCCTCATGAGTTCATACAGTCATCTATGAAGCACAAAAATCTGACGCAGTTAGCTTGGAAACCTTTTTTGGGGGCGAATTATTAAAAGTTTTATGACACGATTCATGTCACCGATGCAGTTAGTGCTACCCAATGATAAGATGGGATTTGCATCATGGTGTGCGAGAGGTTTGAAGTTATCTTGATCAAATATAAAGTGGAGTAATAAAAAGACCTTTAACAGAAAAAGCACATAGTGTATCTTGTTTACATTAAACCCCATTATATTATGGTTAATGTGTCCTGCTAGTAGGTAGCAGGCAGCTACCAAACAGGGAGGTCCTACCGCCTGGAAAGATATTGGAAGTATAATGTGTAGTCTAATGGTAGACCCTGCTGCCATATGGCATCACAAAAATTGTGACCAAGTCCCAGGTTGCTGATCTGACTTTCTGCCTCATTTACACACAATTACAGGGTCTCAATTGTTTCTCTTACTTTGACAACACAACATACATATATTGTTTCTCACACTTGATTTTTATTTTTGTACTTCTCTATGGTTCTTTAATATTATTATTATTACTGTATTATTATTGTTATCTTTATTATTTTATTTTGCCATGTTGTGTGTTCCTCTCTCACCAAATGGCCTCCAACTTGTTGTGTCTTGTGTGGTCGCGATGAATATCTATATATGGTACACTGTGCACAACAATTTAAGCCAGGCATTCATCAAAATAATGCACAGTGTTTTGCTTGTTCTATCTCTCTCTTCATTGACAGAGTTGGAGCTATGGGTTTCATGTGAAAGTAAAGGTACAGTCTAATGAGGCTGACAATACTTTTTATGTACAGAATCATTTTTTTTTTATTCTTTTACAACAACCTTATAGTTTTTGGCACTTGGGGTAAGATAAATAGATTTTGTTTAAATTTCATACAAAGGTACTACTGTACTTTACACGTTGATTAAGGATCTGGTGCACAATTTAAAAATTCGAGTAATTAGTGTTAATTAATGACCTTTGAAATAATTAAAGATATTTAAAAAGTCAATTACGCAGTGTCCGTAAGTTGCCTACCGGTCTGGGAACCTGGAAAAGGCAGGGAATTTTACAAATAAACCTGGAATTTTATGGGAATTCAGTTCAACTTAAAAATACAATATTGTTATTTTGACAACAATCTTACTATAAGTTAATGATGTACAGTACTGTATAATAGGTAAATAAATAAACTTTAGGAACAAATTCCAGTAAATAGTCCACTCCAATAACTGAATTATTTGTGTACCTTTTATATATCATGTTAGCGATCAGATATAATAGCCAAATATTACAGGTTATACCTACTGATTCTGCAGTGAGTATTGTCAGCGATGAATCGTTCTTATAATTAAGTGACTCTATTTAAGTGGATTAATCCACATATTAATCATGACTCATGTAGGGGATCATGAGTGTGATTTTTTCGTTTTTTGACGGATTTCCGGCTTTTTGGGAACGTCCAGGTCAACCCACTTGACTCGCTCAAATCCGAGGAGAAAAATGTGGAGGGGGGGGTTAAGGTCTTTGCCGATGTTCATCACTAGGCTTGGAGTGGGTAGTGAAAGGGTCTTCAATTTCTTGATTAATATCATCTTTTATATTTTCCTATAGTGTATACGTGTAGCTAGTACAGTACAGTACTATTAGTTCATGTAGTAAAAATTATAGACTTAAGGTATCTGTTGTAAGCTGGTATTAAAATGTTATCAAATTAGTTTAGTTCAGAGGTAAGTACTGTAATAAACTGGAGAAAATAATAAGCTTGCAAGTTTTGGTGGACTGTAATACAATGCATGACAGTAAACAGTAATCTGTACTATAATAGGATGATGGGTTATTAAGCTACATGTGATTAAGATAGATATCCAGAGAATAGATTGTATGGAGTGAAGAGTGAGTGGTTGATAAAGTGAAAAATTATTTAGAAGATGGAATGAATAGTGGAGAACAGATGGGAATAAACACTGTTGAGTACAGTACAGTGTCTACATCAGAGTGCAGTAAACTCTGAACATGATTAATAGGGTAGAAAGTTCATCAATTGGTAAATCTCCTTTTGACAATTTTCTTTGCTCAACCTCATTTATAATTATTTTACCTTTAATATTAACAATAAACCATTAATACTGTAACAGTTATACAGCAATATTATACTGTAGTTCTGGTATCTGATAAACTTACTGTGATCTCGTTGTGGGGCCATACATCAGATGGAATATTTTCAAATCATTGGGATGCTAGGCCCATTCCTGTATGTTTTTGATATACATTACTGTCATCCCTTCTATTAAAAAACAACTATTAATGAGAGTTCTGTTATTGAGAGAGTTTGCTGTATGTGCAATAGAATACCCCACATAAGATAATGATTGTAGAGATGACACAATTTGAGAAGCAGGCATGTGATACTCACTGGCATGGCAGTTATACAAGACTCTAGCATGAATTTTGCTGCTGTCTTTCTGGTAATAGCTGATATGTAATTATTATTTTTTTTCTGTTAAAAGATTTTAATACATTTTACATGGGTGTTCCAGCTTGGCTTTTCCAACTCGTAGAGCTTGCTGAAAAATTGCAGGTGGAAATTACAGTAAACTTACTCAGAGTTATAACTTTATGTACTTTCTCCTTATTTTTTATAATTTTTACTTCAATTATCATTATACTTTTTTACAGTGAAGTGATCAGCACTTGACTTTAGGCACTGGGCAGAAATGGACGAATGATAAGCTTTACATAGTGTGCTTAGTCATGTCCATCCACATTCAAACTCCCTGGGCCGGCTTCTTCTATCCTGCCATAGAGAATACCACATCATTGACTGTTATATTGACATAACTATTATGTTTACAGTTTTGTACCCTTGATTGAGATTTAATTTTGCTCGTGATGCAGGGAATTGTATGATGACATTTACATAATAATTTTCATGCTTTTTAGGACAACTTAGCCTGTGAGGTTGAAGCCACCTTGGGGACTCCTGCAGAAAAAGTTAGTCGAGTTTTATTTTAATGCCATTTGAAAATTGTGTTCTAATTTTACTGGGTCACCTAACAAGGTGTGTTAGAGAGATCTACTAACAGGTCTAATGTACAAAAGCCCCCCCACCCCCCATCATGAAATCCAACCCTGACAGGATTTTTATTTTGGATACATTTATTTTTCTGACCTTTTGTTTTACTGCATGGATTAAAATCTGAACAGAACAGGAGTGGGGTGTTGCTCTTCTTGTGGCTCGACTAACTTGTGATGTCAATGATTTCTTATTTTTTAATTATTTATTTATTTATTTATTTTTATGTATCCCTCTGTGTGCAGTATGTAATAAAGCTAAAGACATAGTTATTGCATTGGCTAAATAAAGATATCTAAGTGGAATGTTAAAACAGGACATAATACACAATAGCATGGGTTTGAGCTCATATGTTTTTTAATATTTGGTTTTTGGTGTAACTGTGTTGTTGCTTTGTGTTCCAAGTGTTACAACAGCCAGGGTTATTAAATGCTTCAACTACTACCAGGCTTATGAGACACCATTTACTAAGTGTTATTTTCTGCAACATACAGTATTATTTGTTTTAAATTCAGGTTAGTTTGTATGTGTTACTGGACAATAGTGAGGTTACTAGTGAGTTGTGTATGATGTGAAAATGTTCAAGAGTTGTTATTTTCTACTGAGGTGGTGATTTAGTTCCAAGGTAATATATTAATGAGTTTTATGAAAATCTCACAAACTGAAATTATCATCCCTCTCCCTTCCTCTGTCAGCCTTCAGGTCCTCCTCCAGCACCTTGGGTGATCAGTGCAGCAGAAAAGGCCAGATATGATGTTATGTTTCATAATGCTGACCTTGATAAGGATGGCTATGTAAGTGGGCAAGAGATTAAAGGAGTATTTCTTCAGTCTGGTCTCCCACAGATGGTTCTAGCACATATATGGTAAGAACATATAATAGTCGAGATAAAATACTAATTAATTTACATGTGAATGTAATTTTAAAGTAAAAATTAAGAAAAAGATGTTAGTGAATTCAACTGAACCTAATGTTCATGACTAACTTAGCTATTGGCTTTAGGGAAGCTGAGGCATATAAAACCAAAAAATTCTTTAGGTGATTATTTTGAACCTCATTGCAAACATTCTGTAGAGCATTCTCATATGTTGCACACTTACTTGACAGTATTTATAATGAACATGAAATATGTAATGCTTCATAGACTGTGTAGTGCTGTGAAGGAAGAAGCTGTACTATCAATACTAGATTAATCATAATTTTATTTTTCCCTATCAGGAATCTATGTGATATGAAACAGACTGGAAAGTTAACATCAGAACAATTTGCTCTGGCCATGTGGTTCATCCAACAGAAGTTAGCAGGCACAGACCCACCAGCAGCTCTCACCCCAGAGATGATACCTCCCACAATGAGACCCAAGCCCTCCTCAGAGTCCAATGTGAGTCACTTAATGCTCTTCTTGCCCTTTGATTTGCCGTTTTATTTTGGATTATGTTTGACAGAAAATAATTAAATCTTGAATGTAATTACTATACTGTACATCTAATTGCAAACAGTTAGATATAGGGAGTTCTCGCTATATGTCGGGGATGTGTTACAAAGAAAAACTACTTTTAATGATCCATTTTATAATGAGAATTTTCCCCCATAAGAATATATTGAAATTAGGGGTATAAGCATTCCAACATGTACACTCACCACAGAAAGTATCTGCAAGCTGGGGTCTGATGGATGTCAGAATGAACAATACGACTCCTGTTGTCTCGGCAGGGTTGTCAAAATTCTTCGTCCGTTGTGTCATATTGTCTAGCACAAAAATTTGCAGATACTTTTTGTAGCGAGTTCATGATTTTGCAAGGCCTACACATATACAGTATTTAGGCTCACCATATCATGAAAGATAAGTCAGTTGTATTTAGTTTTTTAGTTCTCTCTTTGAAAATACTGTGCAGTGGCAAGCTTGTCATGTGGTGTTCAGTTAGACCCAATTAAATAGAGGAAAAATACTTTAGCCCTCAGCTACTGTGTTTGCTTCCATGCCTTGTTTGAGTTTCATGTTTCAGTATTGTATAAAGAAGTGAATTTCATAAGCAGTGATTACCCTTGTTTTTAACCCCTTTACCATATGTTTATCTGTTGAGATGACTGTTAGTGTGAGATAACAGCTACTTGTGAAACTGTCATATATGTAACAACCTTCCTGGGTTGTCACCACTTGTAACAATCACTTGAGAAGCACGTTACCTTATATTTTAGACATACTAAAATATAGATCAAACTTTATTGGATCTTCTGTAGTGAAATCCAATGTGTTCTTTCTTTATTTATTAAGAAAATATATTATATTCAGTTCCAAGTGTATATCACCGTAACTTAATCACTGTAGCTGTGAGTGTTAAGATGAGGACGGAGGCTATATTAAATAACACTTCTAATTACGTCCTCCTTGTGTGAGAGTGAGTGAGAATGCCTGTAATACCCGTTGAGGGAAGACGGAATCATGCACGATGGCTCTCAATAACGTCTTCCTCTCGTCAAGGATATCAAACTACTGCCGCAAGAGGTGGCCAGAGAGCTGGCTGCTTAATGCCTTAGCTCAGCACTAAGTGACGCGACTTCCCATGGGCACACCTTATCACGTGCTCTGAACATGCTACCTCATGGCTAGTGGAAAGTTACAGAGGGTGATAGAGTATATACATCAAATGTAATTAACCTTTTTATATAATACTTCTGCCTATAAGACAGGAGCTATTACATTATTATTATTACCAGGAAGGGGTATTTATAAAAAAGACATTAAAACAATAATTTTTCAATTGGTTTTTATTTTTTATTGGTATTTTATTTTTAACTGTTGTCTTTCTCTCCCACTTTGGTTCACTACAGGTGGATCTGTTATGTGATCTTATGGGCCAAGTGGTTGAGGTATGGAGTTGTTTCAAACATTTGTGGCTAGCTCCCATTATGCTTTAGTAGAGGCCTAGGCAGTGTATGGTTTCAGAAGCTAGCAAGCAGTAGGCGAGCTGCACTCATTGACAAGTAGGGCATATTATGGCACAGAGGTAGACTGAAGAGATGCTTCAGTACTTTATTTGAAGGCTGCTAACATGAGATGTTTTTCAACTTGGTTTGACAGTGTGTGTTTGTTAGGAACATATTGTCCTTCAATTTAGTGATTTAAGCATGAGTATATTTTCTGTGTTTATTTATTTTATAATTTCTTCCGTTTTTATTTCTCTGGTAATTTATGAAATGCTTAAAACATTTAGACTGCAGAGTCTTTGAGATCCTTGGAAGTTCTTTACAGCATAAATTGCTGACTGCTGTGAAGTTTTCGTTTCCTCTTTCTTTCACATTTTGTTTAATCATTTTGGGAATCACACAAACTTTCAAAATTTAACACTTCTTTTACTTGCACGTTTCATTTCTTCTAGTATTTCATTAATAATCATAGTAGCCTTATTTTTTTAGAAGAATTTTGTTTTATAGAGTTCATCAGCCATTGCTGTTTGCAGGTGGTGCCAGCTAAGCCTCAGTATAGTAATCCGGAACTTCAGCTTGTTGCTGATGAGATTGAGGAGCTAAATGCAGACAAGCTCAAATTAGAGTCTGAGATTCATCAGAAAGAGGCGAACATTAGGGTTAAGAATAATGAATTGAAAAACTTGCAGGTGAGATTTTTTATTTAGTGTATTGATTTATAAGCATTTATGACATCAAAGATACATCTCCAGAAGTTCATGAAAGAATCAACAATCAAGAAGTGCATTTTATTTGTCAAATGATTTCCTTATAATTTGGAGTTTCATGAGATACATATTTAATATTTTTATGCTGCTGCTTTATAAGAATTTTCATATTGTCTGAATACCCGGTAGTTATTAATTTTATTTTTAAATTTCAGACCGAACTCGACACATTGACGTCAACGTTACGGCAATTAGAGCACCAAAAAGGTGCAGCTCAACAAAGGCTTGATGATCTTGGGAATCAGGTAAGCTGTTATTGTTTGAGAACAGACATGCAAAAGAGTCACACTGTTCTCACATGCTTTATATGGGCACACTTAGATATTTACTTTTTACCATGGATGCACTAAAGGCAGTGAATGAGAACTTATCCCAGTTTAAAGCACACATGTAGCAGTGAACATGCACACCTTGCACTTCATTGTTTGTATTTATTATTTCAAGTTGAGCACAGATCAGGGGCCACTTCATGTACTGCATATGTAGCTCCCTAGATATTTTCCTCCCTTTTATGTTGCAGAGTCTAGTACTTGTAGATTATCATCAGTCTATACTAAATTTATGAAATAGCTTTATAAACTTTTAATTTGCACTTGATTATCTCACAGAAGCATGCATTAAAATTGACTTTACTCATTGCATTAGTCAGTTAATATCATTAGAGAAATAGTCTTAAGCCCATATCTATCTTTCTATCTATCTATATTTTGTTCCCTTGTTCTGCATTCTAGATAATAATGAACCCTTATTTTAGGACAGTCACCTCTTTTACGTTTTGATTAAGCATTCAAGATGGTTGATGTTTACTATAGGGTATTTATACAGTTGTCTGCACTTATTCCTGGTACAATGGCTGGCGCATTTTGTAAGATGTGGCATTTCTGTGAAATGTTCTTCTAGCATCCTTATTCTAGCTACTAATAAGAAGTTCCTTAGGGCCATTCAGGGAGTTTTAATATGATGTAAACAACAGAGTTGCCACATCTCTCAAAGTGCACCAGCCTCTGTACCAGGTATAAGTGCAGGCAACTGTACTGTACATGTTATGAATATGATCTTTTATGGTGATGGCATAGTGTCTCTGAAGAAACTTTTAGAAAGATTGAAATTTTATTGTATGAAAAAACAAACACTTTAGTTACAGATGTAGAAGAATATTACAACTAAAGTATCTCAAACAGATTTCAGAAGCTGGCAGAAAAGTGTTCAAGATTTAGTAAAGGTAGAAGGGGTATTTATCCTTCCTGAGTATGAATAAGCAATGCTTGATACAGGGAAGATTAATTGGTCGTGAAAATACAAAATGAGGGTAGGAAAGATATTGAGTTGGATGAGTGTGTTTTATGCACCACACTATACTGTTGGGAATTAAATTTAAATGTGCCTCACTTTGAAATGTACATACACATATAATATAAATATAATTTGCTTCCAACAGATAATGTGATAAGATTTAATATTAAAGGATGGAGATGAATCTAGCAATCTGAGGGAGGGGGTGTTTAGAATTACAGGCAATCCCCGACTTAGGAATGGGATCCCAATACAGTATATTCATCACAAAAGTCTGGAACTAAAATCCAATTTTTTAAGAGGGAAAAAGCTTTTATTTGAGACACTAATAACACACTGATTTGCCAGCACTAATACAGCATCAGCCATGTTGGATTACTGTACTGTATTTCCTGAGACCTGTACAACATTTTCTTTAGTTCATGAGTTATTTTTGTCCCAGTTTTTGTTTACTTATTATGTTAAAAGTTATGCAGAGTTGAGTTCTCCCTCTGATGCCCTCCCTGACCTGAGCACATTGAAGTTAGCATATACACCTTACCATGTTGTGTTGACATCTGCAGAAAAAGATCCTAGAGGGAGAACGGAATGACCTCCAAGCCATGATTGAGGCCGAACAAGAAGAGGTAAAGAGAAAAGGTTTTGAATTTTTAATGTGTTATTGGGGTAAAGCAGAAAAGGAATTAATTTTATTTTTAATATGGGATTTGATTTATCCTGTAGCTCTTTATATTAGTCATTCCTCGTATTTATAGAATTACCCTGTACATAAATTTTGTTTATCTTTCCTGCTTTGCCAAAACTATCATGAGTTTATATGTTTGTAGTCTTTTTATTCTTGATAATTATTTTTGAGTAGTTTGGGAATTATACATTGAGATTCAGTGTCACAGAATTATTGTTGGTTATATTAGCTGGAATGTTTTGGTATAATAAATGGTTTTCTTATATCTGTGTCCAGAACAGAAAATTAGAATCTACAATAACAGTGAACTGTGTCAGCAACAAGCATTGTTGCCTTTACTAACCACAAAAAGTTTTTACCAGCTAAGTACTTAGGTCTAAAACTTGTTTGTCACTATTTAGAAGAAGATTATTTGTGGGTGAAAAGGCTATGGGATCAATGGTGTGGGACCCGGAAGGGTTCTGAAGCTGTTTTTGCTTTGCAACCCCGGAACATTAACCACCTAGAAAGAGGAGAGGTTTCTCCTTATCCTGAAGACTCATTTGTTTAGCTCTAAAGTTGTTGTCTACTGGTAATTAATGGAACCAATTTAGTGTACCCAGTAGTATCATGACTTACGGAGTTAGGACAGGAAGAATGGGCACTGTATAGGGATATTCATGGAACGTAAGCTTTTTGGTGATTACTGTAATAATGATGAAGAGCTGAGGATGTTTCTCAGAAAAACTGGCAAAATATGGGATGAATTGCGGAATATTGATTTCGTGCAACACCTAGAAAAGTATGTACCGTAAGATGGTATATGTTCAAAGATTGATAAGTGAGGCTACATTATAGCCTGTAAAGTTGGTTCTCTATGACTTATTTTTTAGTATAAACTATCCGTGTATTCCATTATGCATTTCCTGCATATTTTTTTTTTTATTTGGACAAGAAATACACAAAATCTTTCTCATGTGCACAGTACAAGGTTGCAAAAGAAAAATAGTCACTTGGTTAGTCTTGTCTGCTTGTGACCCATTCAGTTTTCCCAAGGCTAATCAGCTCTGATTTTGTTTGTTAGAAATTAGAATTTACAGAAAGGGAGATTTTCAATTTGTCATTCTCCTCCTCATATTAGTTTTACTTAGACCTCAGCACCTTGCCAGAATTTGTTGAAGATTATTTATGGTCATAATTGATGTAATGTACATTGGAAGTGAGGGATCAGTTATATAAAATTAACAGCCATTTCAAGTGGAAAGAAATAGTACATTTACAGTACATAAAATCATTCCAAAGGCTGAAATATTGCATACAGCTACTTATGAGGTCCCACATTATCCTCCTCTTTGACAATTTTTCTTTTATCCATCCCATTTTTCATTCGTAATATCCGTACTCTCTTCTTCCTCAGTCCCAGCCTTTCCCTTTATCCTGTTGTAAAGATGTCACTCGAGGGAAATTGAAACATCACTTTGATAAAGAATTTTCTGAGGAAAATCACATTTTTCATTTAAACCTTAGTAGTGTTATAACAGTATTAGGGCAAACTTACCTATTGTTCTAATTTCTTAATACGTTCACCATTTAAACTTCAAACCTGTTTACAAAGCTTTGTGCTGCTACACCTGGAAAATTAAGCTCACAGTTTCTGTATGTATGCATTGTTAGGGTATCCTGTATAACCAAGTTTGTCAGTTACAATATTTAGACTCGACTCACTTGTGGTTCCCAGCCCCTCACTTCACTTCTGCATCATACACTCACCTGCCCAAGGTTTGTCATTGATGGAACATGTTGTATGCCATCTTTATTTTGGGGATCATTTTAGTATTATTGTAGAAACTGTTAGTGACAGTAGAGGCGAGGAAAATATACTGTACCTGATATTGATGATTTTCATTGATGACTAATCACTAAACTGAATTATAACACACAGATGTAAAGGGGAGAAAAGTCAAAGGCGAGACTTAGTTAACATGGATACTTACTTTGGTTTTCCCTGGTAGATGTTGTTTGTGTATATGATTGTTTTTAACTTTTGATCTTGAAATATACCCGTGAAGACATAAATTGGCATGAGATCATAATTGATATTCTTTTCTTATGTGTGTGTCCAAATAGCTAAAGAAGAAAAAACTTAGAAATAAAATTGTTTATCTCTGCAACTTTTATTGGTTACTGTAGTGTCTGTGCTGTAGTGAAGGGGTTCATTCTAAATTTTAACAAGAACTTTCCTCTTCATCCTGTCCTTTTTGTAGATAATGAGAAATACCACTACATATGAACACTCATCCCTTCAAGGAAGATGTATGGTTGTAACTTTATTATTATTATTATATAATTTGTTTTTATCTCTGTGAGTAGTCTTTCTCCCTCCCTACATTTTTGTATATCATTGTTTTTAATCATTATTTACATGTTAGTAGACCTTGTCAGTAGGTTGAACCAGTCTGTTAACATGTTGAATATTGTATAGGAACTAAAAAAATATGACAGCTGAAGGATGATCACCTCAATTAGAAATTTATTTTGACCCCCAACTATTTTCTCAGGTGGCCAAACTACGAAGCCAGGTGGAGGAGCAGGAGACCAGTCTGAAGGCTCAAGAAGAGGAGGTTTTGTCCAAAAGGCAAGAACTAACAGACCTCAAGAATCAGGAGAACCTGTTGGAGGAGACTGTGGCCACCATGAAGAAGAGGATAGATGAGCTCTGTATTACTCAACAAGATACACAGCTTCACATATCACAAGTATGAGATGCTTTTGTGTGTATGCTTTCATGTGTGTGTGTGTATAATAATTAATGAAAATATACATTGGGTAAAAGTTACTTATTACATACAATAACCTGGGGAGTGGGTCGTGTAACAAAAGCTTTCATTGTAAAAAGGAAAGGGAATATTAATTGAACAAACAAATTAAAAGTTTAGATTAGATGGCAGGGACTGATCTCTTGCCCTTTGTGTATGCATTGCAAAAGCAATTAAAAATTTCCATAGTCAATTGGGCAAGTAATATTCCAAATACAGGGGTATCGACTCGTGGATAACAGATCCTTAAGCAGCATGTTCAGGAGTACTTATATTGAAATTCTGAACAAAATTGATGAGATAAAAATTATGGCCAAAATGACTTTTAGGCCAAAAAATATTTTTCTCTCAATTGGAATTTAATGTGTAACTACTTTGGCTGTTCGTCAAGGTTTATTTTGTGGGTTTTTGACAAAGATTCTCATTGGTGTATTGCAGGCACGTATAAAAATCTCAGAGTTACAAGAACAAGAGCGACAAATGACTGAAGTTTTAACATCGTATGATTCCGCCATTTCCTCTGGTGATGCGTCGTCCTTGTCCGAGTCCTCCCTCAGAGAAGTCACTCCTACTTTCTCGGACCCCAGCTACCTCCATATAGGTCCATCTCCATCCACAAGCCCTCAGGTAAGTTGTTTGATGTTTTTAAATAAAGGCATGAAAAATTACTGTTAATTCAGAATATTTGGAACAGGAGTTGCACCTGTTAGAGAGAAGAGTGTCTGCATAATTTTGTTTTTATTCTTTTCTGAACATCACATAGGTTGTTTCATTTTCATTTACTTTATTCCTTACCCACAGGAATCGCCCAAAGATTCTACACCACCCCAGCAGAATGGTTTGCCTTCCCAGGAGACTGATAGTGAGTACAGTACAGTATAACAAAATACAAATATTTCATCTGGAATGTTGTGGGTAGAACTCGGGGTAGCTGTCAGTGAGTAATACAGGAAAAAGATATGTCTGGTGGATTATATGGTAGCAAAGGAAACACGGAGACAGAGAAACTACTTTACTCCTGATGTTTTGTCACGAAGGACTTTTTCAAAGTGTTTTATAAATTGCTCCTTTGAAATATTGCACTTTAATATTATAGTTGCCTTTCTTTACCTGAAGTACTATTAAGGTGGCAAAGGGACAAAATCTTCACTCATTTGTTGTAAGAAAGGGCTTTGGCAGACCTAACCTGTGTTATGAAGTTGTGTTGCTCTGATAACTCTGTCCTATAATTTTATCCCACCAAAAAATTACTAATGTATGAAAATGATAACTTGTTGCTCTTTTCAGATAATCCTAAAGCCAAAGATACCTCATTCTCTGGGGGACATGATCCATTTGCTGCAGCTTTTGGTGGACAACAAAATCATGTAAGTATTTTATTTTTCCTTCATAGTTTAAATGGTATTGAAGTTGTGGAAATTTTCCAACCTTAGAATGCGTGTTTTGAACCCGCTCAGGGCTCTGTAAACCTTGGTTGAACTGGTGGGGGCAGAAGGTATTAGGGGGTAATTGATTTGTGATATTACAGGATTTACCAAAATTTAAACTATGGATAAATTACTAGAATATATAGTAATCACATAAAAATATAAAAGAATATAGAAATAGCGTATATTGTAGTGTACATTTGGAACCAGTGGGTCAGTTGATGACGTGGCAGGGTTTAGCTAGTCAACTGATTCACCTCGGAGAGGAATTCACTACCCAACTTTGGAGAGGAATGTAAGTTCCCTTTTCTTTTTGGACAAGTTCAAATATCCAGACAACCAGGACAAGGATACTGCTTGGAAAGTGGTCTTCCTTACGAACCATGCCTCAATTCTCCTCCTGACAATGCGTTTTCAGCTAAGTGTAATTTCTTTCATATGTTAGTGATACCTTAGTATGCTGTCTTGGTTTGGGAGGAATGAGATAAGGTGAGGCTCGTAAATTCAATATTCATTTAAACATTTTGTAAAGAATAGTTTCCACAGAAGTTGTAAGAAATTCATTATGTGTATATGAACCTAACACCATTTCACAAGGACCCGTGCTTAATGGGGTACCAGAGGTGGGTGGGTTTGGGCCAGGTAACTACAAACTAAGGTGGCCAGGGTTAATCCGAAGATTTGCTTACTCTCCCGTACAGCTTAACCCTTAAAGCTCGGGTGACATATCTCGACATCCTTAATTTTCGGGGCATAATAGTTTGTATAGGATATTTATTTACTTGGCAACTCAGCTCACTGGTAATCTTTGTCTTAAAGTCTAGTGGTCCAGTTACCCACCAGCGTGTTCTTTGATGTCTCCTGGCCCCTCTTGCTCCTCCACACCCTCAACAGTATTGCTTTTCATCAGGAGTTGCTTGATTTGAGTGGCATTGATCGGGTGATGAAGATAGTGATGGGGAGGAAACAGACCCAGGTGATGTAGAGTTTGTTGAGGCTGCCAGGACACTGATACAGACAATGGCCCTCCCCCACACGGTCGCTATAGTGGCTGTGGACCACATGCACGTCAACCAAACAGTTCACTTGGAGTGATTGCACTAATTTTATGCCTGAAATACCAATTTTAGACTGTCGAATTTAAAAAAAAATTGGGGGGCTGAAATATGCTTGCATACCCCGTCCAGTGTGTCTTACATCGTCTGGGGCATAAGGGTTAATTGCTCAAATACTGTGAATTGATTCTGATATTGTGTACATGGGATAGGATCTGTGTAGGGGTGTGTGTTCCTCAAGCTTTTTGCTCTTTATCGTTAAATTATGAATGGAAGATTTGTTCTGAGAGCCTCTTTTTTTTTTTAATGAAATCATTAAGGAATTACTTCTCACGGACCAGTAATGGGAAATAAAGCAAGTGAGAATATGAATTGGAAACTACAGGATCACTAGTAGATGAGCCTCATTCTGTTTGATCGCTATTTTGATAAAGGAATATCTGCGATTTCCTTGAGAATTTGTGTTTTCACTGTTTCTTCTCTATGCAGGTGGATGTATTTGGGTCTTGGGATGAAAGGAGAGCAGCAGCAGCAGCAGCTGTCCACAATCCACCTCCAGCAAGTGACCCATTTGGAGGTGATGCCTTTGCCTCCCAAGGAAAGGTAGGTAGTTTGGAGTACTTCATGGTATATTTTTAAAATGGGGAAGAATGTTTAATTAATGAGCCATGTACTAAATACTTTTAAAATATTTAAAATGTCATTAAGCCTCAGTTTGCAAGTTTTAAATCACCTTTATAAGCATTTACCATTTGAACATGCTAGTTTCCACTTTCCAGAAAATAGGCTTTTTGTTGTCCGAAAGACACTACCTGTTATTTTACGTTTTGGCTTATGAAATCAAAAAGTACATTTTGTTCATATTTCATACAAAGGTACTCCTTTATGTGCTGGTTGGGGATCTGGTTTCAAATTTTAAAATGTTAGTCTGAAGAATACCAAAAAATGGCAAAGAGCATGAATAATTCCCCTCGGTAAAAGGACAGTGTATAAGAATGAGTAGAAAGTTATTATAGAAGAATTGGTCTCTAAGTATACCAGGGAAAATGTATGATAGTCAATAAAGAGAGATAGCAAATGAAGGGAAGGTCAATGTGGCTTCTGAAAATGAAGACGTTGAATTGAGCAGGTGTTGGTGTATTAAAGAAATTTAGAATAAATGGACAGTTGCTGAATGCTGTTCATAATTTGTATAAGGAAAATGAAGCATATATGGTAGTGTGTCGGGAAGAGTCTTTTGAATATTGAGAGTGCCTCTGCTCCTTTTCCAACACCATACATACACCTGCAATACTCAATGATATTATAAACAACGTCTTTAGGAAAGAGTGGAGTAGCCATGGCTGTCCTCATGGTACAATGCAACCGTGAGAACTGAGGTCCAGCCTTCAGGCAGAGCTGAATCTTGTGGGGGCAAATGGCCTGCTCCACAAGCCTTCAATTCAGTCAGATTGACAAGCCTAACTGAGTGTGTGTGAGGGGTTTAATGTTGGTATAATTGTTCAACATTTTTGTGGATAGGATAGGAAGAGAATTGTAAGCATGAAAATGGAGAGGGAAGCAACTTTGGTAAATGAGGATGTTTCTTTTGGGGACTGTGTGACTCTTGTGAAACGTCAGAATTGTTGTCTGATACTATCTTTAGCAAGGTTATAACTAGTGTAAGAATGTGTAAATTGGGGTTGAAAGAATTAAGAACAATCTTAGGTACAGGTAATGAAAATATTTTTTAAACGAGTTCTTGATATCAAAAGTAAGTTTAAGAGGGGGAAAAATATCAACATGTTATTTTATTTTTGTGTTAGGAGCCACATCAGTACTTTGAGCGTTAGTTTCAATGGATCGTTCACCCTAAAAGGAAAGGATGAGCACTTGCTAAATCATGGGTTGAATCAGGCTACTAGATGAACAACTACTCTCTCAATTCTTGTTTTACAGTGATACAACTTGGTCTATTGGTAATGTGCAAGTTTACTTGAGACACATGGTCTTGAGTGTAATACAGTAGTAATAAGAAAAAAAATTTTGGTCATGTAAACCATATTATAATGTACTTTGTAATTGTTACATTTGTTTATTGATTTTCTTTTTTCTTTTCTTTTCAAACAGGGTGTTAATGATCCATTTGGGGGTGAGCCATTCAGTTCTGGGGGTGGGCCTCCACCAAGACCTGAGAGTCCCACTCCGGCTCTTCCACCAAAGAAATCTAAACAGCCGCCACCGAGACCTGCGCCTCCCAAGACTCGGCCAGTAAAGCCACCCCCTCCACAGATCAATTCCAATAACAACCCAACCACAAATCCTACTACAAAAACTACAACAAACACTAACTCAAATACTGTCTCCAATGACCCATTTGTGGGGGGTTGGGGAGACAATAAAGCTGCAAACCCAACAAATAATGGTGGCTTTGCAGATTTTGCCAACTTTGCTGATTTTGATACAAAGGTGAGTCTTAGATATGTGTTTAGAACTCCTGCAGTTACAACTTGAGAATTTGCTTCATCACTAATAGATTTGCATTGCTTTGAGGAACATGACACTTTATTTCCACTTTCTTGTAATGCATAAATTTGAGTTTGTATTGTAAAAGCAGTTAACTAAAGGGTGGGGATGTGCACTGACATAATACACCTGTAGTATTTCATTGAGGTTCTTTTACCAAGTGATCCATCCCACAAGAATAAGAGAGGAGTCAAAGTACTATATAAAGATAAATAGATAGTAACAAGGGATATTTAGCTAAGGAGGATAATGGGTAGTGTATGAATTGTGTTTTTCTTTAATGTTATAGACAACAACAATAGATGCTGTAGTTAAGTGGTGGTTTAAGAGTCTGGTAGTGCAGGTTGTAATATAGAAATTTGTTGAAGGAAAGTGGTCTCCCCATCCCTCTCAATATTATTGCTATCTAAAAAAAGCTACAATGAAAAAGATGTACAGTAGGTCGTTGCTAGTACTTTCTTGTGGTACCTGTAACTGAAATGTGATATTTAAATACTTACTGCTGGAAACTAGCTACTGCATAAGCAATGACAGTAGAATTTGTAATGAGTTTTTCTTCTCTGATAACATGGGCCCCTCTCCCTTTATGAAGTACATGTACAGACAGAATCAAACATTTTTTTGTATTTATTTATTTAATCTTTTCTATTATGCTTGCTTTATACACAGCTTGTCCAGTATCATGGGCACTTAGTAAGAGATGGAACTCACTGTTTGTGTCACCCTTACCTTTTGGAGGTTAACTCGTGAAAGTGTTTATCTGTATATTGGGACATGCCACAGGAAATGTAATGTAGTCATGTTCAACTTTAGGTGATGAGAATACAGTACAGTAATGTTAGTTTTTGTCTAATTACCTTTCGATGAAAAATCATAATTGCAAATTAATCCAAAAGAAATTTAAGCCAGTCCCCCCACCTTGATACAAATCATAAATTCCATTGTTCAGGTTATACTGGTGTTCAGGTCTGTGATATGTTAAGTCAGGATCTGGTTACACAAAAGAATTTACAATGAATGCTCTTAAGTTATTAATTTTGCATGTTTTGTACAGCTGTTCTGGTTAATATTGTGGGTGAGGGTGAGAAGGTGTCAAGCAACACAATTGGGATATTTTGTTGTACAGTATTTGAAATAAGTTCCATGCTATATTTTTTGGAGGATTGTATTGAAGAATGCTTCTACTTTTTTGAGATGCATGTTACCAAGACAAGTGTAAAATATATATGGTATCAGCTGAGCTTATACTTTTCTCTTAGATCATCATTAAGTTCTTTTTTATGTACATTTTTATATTCTCATTTATATATATAATTTAAGAGTTGTTTTTGAAGGCCCTGTTTTAAACATGCATTTTGGATACATGTAGCTTTCTTGTCCTCATGTTAGTGTTTGATTTTAAGAAAGTACAGTACAAGTAAAGGAAAGATGAGATTGCAATTTATTTTATTTATTTTTTACTTGGATGAAAAACTGCCAATTTATATATATCATTATTCAGTATACATAGGTATATGTATTATCATCATCCATAAATAATGACTCCCAGAAGTACTTTACCTGACATTGTGGTTACACCTTATTGACTCTTGATTAAATTATCAAAAATAATTTGCTTAATTTGGCTTCTGCCACCAAAAAAAAAAAAAAAAAAATTTGGTTAGCATTAATTTAGCTTTTCTTAACCACCAAAAGAAAAAGCTTGAATGTCAGAACTAGTACAACTAATAATATATATATATATATATATATATATATATATATATATATATATATATATATATATATATATATATATATATATATACACGTAGTTAGTTTAGCATCACTGGTGTTTTTGTGTTTGTTATGCATTGAATGGTGCTAAATGAAGATCAGTAATTTACTGTATCTCTTTCATTTGTTCCTTATTTTTATCATAGTATTTTGATTTTCAGTTTGTAGCATGTTGGTGTTAGTAAGCAGACGGTCACTTGTTGTTTGGTGAGCCGCGCACCACACACCAGTTTGTTTTGTTCATTCATTTGGTAATGTATGTTACCTTTCCCCAGTACCACTGTTGCACCTTTTTTTTTCTTTTTATGATTTGGAATTTCCTTCATATTCTTTTCCTTACAGTTGTAGTGCAGCCCCGAGGCGAATGCAGGCAGTAACGAGGGTTCCTCCCCCTCTTTCTTTACCTTTGCAGCACTGATCCCCAACTCACACTCTTCTCACTAGTGTTCCAAGGTAGTCGTCACCAGCAACTGCGCATCGCCTTGGGGGGATGACGAAAAATTTGCATCAGCCACCAAACATGCAGCATCGGGGGATGAAGACCCCTTCAGTTCACCATTCTCAACGACGAAGGGAAACTTAAGAAGCAGTGATAACTCCCCTTGGCCTCAGGATGCCTTTGGATCATCAGGGTTCACCTCTGATGAAGGATTTGGAGAGTCTTGTGTATTTGCCCAAAATGATGCATTCACTGAACCATCTGGAGCTCCTGATCCTTTTGGCGGGGATTATGACCCCTTTAAGGATCAGGACTTTAAGGAGGCTGATAAATTTTCTTGGGAAGATGAACCAGACCCCTTTAGTACATTACCTGTCAGTTCAGAAGTAAATACTGACAATCCTGTTGATAATACAGCATTCAGAAAGACTGATCCTTTTGGTTTCAGTGTTAATGAAGATGATGCTGATGCTAATGCTAATGTGTTCACTGAATTTTCTAGTAAAGAATCATATAAATTTTCTTTAAGCAATGCAGATCAATATGATTCAAACGAGAATAACCGATCAAAGTCTGCTATTGGGGATCCATTCTTCCATCAGACAAAAGAAACTATCCCCATGCGATCCAAAACTTCGCTTGGTGAACCACGGAATGCTAACTTTGATTTTGATCCATTTTCAACATCAAAAGTAACAAAAGCAGAGAAGAACAAATGGAAGAGTAATGAGGACCTATTAAGTGAAACATTTGCTCCGGATGATAGTTGGGGAAGTACCGGCAAGCTTGGATCAGTTGGTAACGCAGCCAGCCCCTTTGGTGACAGCTTTACCAGCAAACCTTTGAATAAGGGCACTCCCCAGCAGTCTCACCTGGTGACAGAAGATGAACAGCTAGCTTGGGCTGCCCAGGAGAGCATTAGAATGGAAGAGTATCGGAAACAGCAGGAAGAACAAGAACGAGCAGAGCTGGAGTTAGCGCTCACTCTCTCACGTTCCATAACCCATTCTCCAGCCCAGCCTCACTCCTCACGGTCACCATCAACAGGCCTCTAAGCTAGGGACATAGGAAAGTCAATTGTACATATGTCTAAAAAAATATTATAGTATGATGAAATTGTTATGATATTAATGTTGAAATTTAGATTATAGTATAGTTGTTTTCTTGTTTAAGAGTTCTGTAGTTTTGGAATTTATTGCAGCTTTGTTATAAGGAAAATCATATAATTTGGCTAGCTTATATGTATTGAAATGCAAATACAGTATACACATCTTGCAAGAGGTATTGTTCTCTTTCTGCATTTCTTACTTTAATGTGTTATGTGTTTCATATATGTGAAGAAAACATGGTAACTAAACTATCACACGAAAGATGCTGACCAAGATGTGCTCTAATGTCAAAAATTAAATATATTATTTTCAATCTTTATCCTTTCATTCATTGATGGGTACAGAAAAAATTGCTCTTGATATTCATAGTTTGCCATTGCACACACATTTAATTATTATGTAAAATGGCCAGTCTTTGTATTTTGACCTTTGTGAAAATGAACAGTAACGGTTAGCTGAAATAAGATAAAAAAATATAAATAAATAAAAAGCACTGGATTTATATAATACCGTGCATGGCCTCTCCCATTTTGCATTAATAGCAAAGAAGAATACAGCTTTGCATTTGGAGGCCCGTTCATTGAAATTTACTTGCAATAAATTCAAATATAAAATTTGGGTGTGTGTGTTGGAGTGCCATTACCAGGTATAGGATGGCTGATGCCAGTGATAGTCCTACATAAGCTTGTAACAGACCATTCCCAGTGTCTCCAAAGGATCAAGTCTGGATTCAGGTTTTGATATATTTTTGTAATTGTGTGATTAGTTTCTTGATATTGTAAATATTTTTGTCTTGTTTTTCTCGACACGAAGATTTGATTTTTATTATTCATCACGATTTATAGAATTGTTTAAGGTATCAATGACAGAAGTGTGCTCTGTGCAGAATTTCATATCACCAAAAAATGTGCTCATAATTATTGAATTTTATGATGTGTAGTTGCATGTATGATATTATGGTCTTATTTTATTGAGATGTATTATTTCATTACTGGCTTTGAATGGAAAAGTTAATACCTCCTTGAGTATTGATTTTTCTTTTGTTTTTTCTGTAAATTGTGAATTGTATGTAAACTTATTTTATTTTTGTAGTTTCTTGAAGGAAGTTTGTCATATTTGTTTTATATAGTAATTTGGAGTTATTTTAATCAATTTTTTTCATGCGATGTCATTCAAAAGCAATGTTTAAATACCTTGTAATTGATATGGACATGAAATAATGGAAACATTGTTTTAACACCCAAATTAAGCATGAAGGTGAAGAAGGATTCATTCCTGTATAGCCTTCTTGCTTATGTCTTCCAAGAAACAATATCTCATTCCTCCTGGCCCCACACTTTGTTTCCTTGGGCCATGGTCCTCTACCTCGAACTCTACCGATTATTGTAGGTGCTTTCTGTGTCCCTGTCAAATTGGCAACAAAAAGTTTTCTAAGTGCCAACCACATGGGAGAACTGGTGGCCAGCACGTTGGAGTGACAGTAGCTTGGTAATTGACATCATGAGGTACAGCGTCGCCAGGGATGAAATTACCACACTCAATCAATCAATCAATCATGAGGTACAGGAGGGGGTTGGCTGACCAGGCTTCTACATTTCTGTTGACTTCCAAAACTGACTGTTGGGGGTCATTCATTGAGATTTTGAATATCAGGGAATTCTTTATGCAGTTATTAATTTTGTGTAACAACTAACCCAATTTGAGAAATATATTTGTAAAGTAATACTATCAAGATCTTAAAGGAAAGCATGGTTTCATATAGCTCGAAGTCAATTAAAATTCTTGGCAGAATTAGGATCATTGTACGGTACTTGTGGCATACCATCGTCTTCCACAGACCCAATATGGAAGTGGGTTCTAATCTACTCTGCAGTTTGCATGCCAGCATTCAAAACTTTTTGCTGAATTTCAACATAATATTTATCTGTATTGATTATTTTGCAGTTAATCATAGCTGTTGGATTCCCAGCCATTGTTTTAGTGTATTATAGCAACACTATAATAATAATATCTCAGTTGATTGATTCTTGTCCTCATGTCCAGCAGTCAAGTGCTTAGTGAAAGTATCACCCGTCCTAGTTGTTTCATCGAGAGAGCGAGCGCTGCATTACTGTCCATGATGCATTTTGTTGAAAGTTTTTGCATTTTAAGAGAGATGGTATTGCTGTGTGTGCAGAGAATATAGTGAGCACCATATTTGGGAGACACTTTGTAGTGTGGCATAAAATGACTGTTGGGGTAATTTTTTCACTACACCTGGCCTTTTGGGTATTATTGCCTGATCATTTTGATAAACCTGTAACAGCCAAGGGACTTGTAAATTCATTAAGACTGGACAACGAGTATTTTTAAATTTGCAACACTTGCCTTTGTTAAACAAAACTTATGTTTGGTACAAACTCTGCATGTTCATAGTAATAATTGGTAATATGTAGTGACACAGTAAAAAGTTACACTAAAAGTGGTTGCATTGATGAACAATGTTGTATGTATGATGTAAAATGCCTTACTGGTTCCAGGAAGTTGTGTTGTAGCTGAATTTTGTGGTGTATAAAGTGAAATGTCCAGGTGTAACTGGAATCTATTTCTCCCGTTTCTTTGTAAATGTATCTGTGAAATACTCGTGTACGGAGGTAGTGTACCATTAAGCTAATGTAAAAAGGTATAGAAATGTATATTAGTGGATTTCCCCAAACCCTTCTTCACCCATTCCTATTCCCTTCTCTCCTTAAAGTTGTTATTGAAAGTGTATTTTGATGAGGAACATAGAGAGTGCATTTGTTAGGCCAAAGACAGTACTGTAGTGAGAGGCACATAACTAGCAAGTGGTCTGTGGTGGAGAGTGCTCAGGTTGTGGCCTGATCTATTTCTTTGAAATTAGTGTATTATTTATCTTGTCCCATTTAAAATTATCATGTCTTAAGCAGGTGTGGAAGAAACATTGTACTTCTCTAGTCTGTAAAAAACAACAATTGAATCTGATTTTGTGAAGCCTCAAAATCGTCAGTCACATCAAAAGAAACCATGTTATCAGTTTATATAAACTGAACCAGTTAACCCAAATGAGAAAGTGGGGTTGGTCATACTAGTCCATTTTTTAGTGTCCATTCATGAGCTGAAACAAACAGGAATATTGAATGGAAAGTATTAAAAGAAAGAAGCATAAGTAAGCTCATATTTGTCTCCAAACTTCATGTGAGTATGTAAAGTAATGACAGTTGAGAATGGCACTAGCTTAATATTCTTTGTCGTGCAGAATATGTAAAAATGTGATTTTATTGAAAAATAGTTTCCATACAGTGATATTTTCTTGTATTGTAAGATGTTTGGTATACAGTACTGTAATCTGCCATTATTTGGACAAAGGACATGGAATATTGCTGTAAACAAGTTCACTTTTCTTGAGGTTAAAGAACTATACCTTTAATTTAATCGAGTTTCATCAAGTACAGCCTAAAATACCGTGTTCATCTTTTTAAGTGATTGACGAGAGGCTTGGACTAGTAGCATTAGTAAGATTAGACTTGGCTGGGATATGTATTTAATTTTGGACTCTCTTATGTTATGAAGCTTGAGGCCAAGACAATTATATGTACCCTTCCTATGGCACTCATTTTTTATTGGATGTGTAAGTGTCTTTTCATACATCTGTTATTCATTGTATTTTTAGGTTTTATATTTTTGGACGAGTTTTCAGCGCAGTGTGCTGAACATCTCGCAGTCTGTCGCCTTACATGTACATGTTGTCAGTATTACATCATCAGTATCAAGGACAGCTGGTGGTGGTTGGTAAATGGCATGAGTCAATTTAGATTTTTAAAGAGTACAGGTATTTTGTATTTAATTGAATAGTTTATTTTTTAAATAAACTATAAAGCATACATTTTAAAGGATGTTTTTAAGTCTATGTAATGTACTTTAGTTTCAAATTATAATTTTAGAAAGGGATACACTGAAATTCTGACTTGTAGTTAACACTTAGAGGAAAAATACTGAAGCTCTTACATTGTAACATACTGTATACTAATAGCTTGCATGCATGTGCCCCCATTTCAATAATACTCATTTCACCAGGTAACCAAAGCAATCAGTATAATGTGTATTACGAATATACTTTAATTCCCAAAACCGTATCACATTACATAATAGCGTCATCACTTTTTTAGTTAGGGATCCACAATTTCAGAATGTAAAAATTTAAAGGTACACTTTGTATTGCCCATAGACAGAATATGAACCACACACACCTTGGGAATGTGGTATGGTTTTGCGAGTTGTAGGTCATGACAACATTGAACAGTTACTGGCTTAGCCTTACTATTCACACTGATATTACCTTGCCTCTGCTCTAAATTCATAGGTGCATTTATGAACACTTTTATATGATACAGTATACAGGTATTCCTAATTATGTTCACATTGAATTTGGCTTAAGTAAGAGTTTTATGTTCATAAACAAAATATACAGTGCATATTTAATTTAATTTTACTTTTTAATTGAAATTATAAACTAAACAGTTGGTCTGGAGAAATTTTTAGCCACTTTATCACATTTGGTGTAGCTGTAATGATGTATCGAGACATTAAATTTTGCAAAGCATTTATGATTAACATTAGGTCGAGTACATTGACTGGGTGCAATATCAAATAAGGTTATACGGTACTTTCATTCATGTGATTATGTAGTGTCGTAGATTATCATGATCCAAGTCACATGAACTCTTAGAACACTTTGGAGAGATGTCCCCCCTTGATGAAGATTTCATCATACTTTATACACAATCATTTTACACAGTTCCTCTCTGACACAGCAGTTTTTCCAAGTTCAAATTACTTATTTTCTTTACTCACATTCTTAAATATTGACAAGTGGAGATGGATGCCATGGCTCGTGCGACCAACTGACTGTTTGCCAAGTGATTGAATTGCAAAATGTGTTCATTATGCTATATAGTTTAGCAGAATTGAGATGCTTTCATGATTTGGGTGGAGCAGTATGCATGGTTTGAGGTTGATGCTCTATTTATAACTTGGCCATAACAGTATCCTCCCAGGTAATGTAGCTACTCTTCTGCCTTACCAATCGTGTGCCACCACCACCCTGTTCCCTGCTCCCAGGCCTGGCCTTCTCTTACCACTGGAGGGCTTGTTACACTTGTGACCACTGCTTTCCTTATACTTATTCCACTGTAAACTATTGGTTGTCAGTTGTCTGTATGTGAATTGTAATAATAGAAATATTGACACTACGCCAGGGTGATCCGAGTGACATTGTATATTCTATGCTCCAGTGGTGATGATAAGAATTGGTGCCTGAGTGCGTTGCCTTTATCTCAGACTGTCAATGTTTCTGATTTATTTTGAGCCTGTATCAAGCGTGTACACTTGTGTTCTCAACATGCTTCATTAGGAAACTCTGTAAGATGTTTATCATATAATATATGATTGGTAAACACTGTGTTCTACTTTCATTGATTTTGGATCTTGCGATTAAACTTTGTTAGCACAAGAAAATGGGGGCTATTTTGTTTTCAGTGGAAGTAAATTAACAGTTTGTTTGACGTTAAGGTTGGTGTTGCTTCCCCCACACCAACTTGGGAATATTCCCCAGATACTACCAGAGAGGGAAGCCCGTGGTTTCTCCTGTCTATCAGTCGTGTTGTTCAGTGTCACCGTCATGTTATCTCAATGTAAATAATGCTTAATAAACAAACACGTTCACCAGATGCCTTGTTTTATTTCAGTTATCCATACATAATGCTTGGGTTTTAATAATCAAGATTATGAAGTACAGTATAGTGTTATAGACACCCGACAATGTACTTTAAACCTTTTAATATAACAAGTCCTAACTGTTGGTTAGCAAGATGTACTATCAGGGTAATTACAATTTTCTAAAAGCCATTTGAACAAGTAATAATGCAGATATCAAATTTTCGTTGACAGATCCTTAATCAGCATGTTCAGGAGTACCTATACTGAGATTTTGAACAAAATCTATTTTTTTGCCAAAAATCTTGTAAGGCATAAGACTTATAATTTTTGTCATTTTCGGCCAAAAAAAATAGATTTTGTTCAAAATCTCAGTATAGGTACTCCTGAACATGCTGATTAAGGATCTGTCAACGAAAATTTGGTATCTGCATTATTACTTATTCAAATTATTAAAATTTTTGTCAATTTCGGAGTATGACAATATGAAATATGATGATCTCAAAGCCCAACTGGAATTCTTTGTCAATACCTATTCCAGTGACCTGGAAGCATTTGTTCTAGAGTTTTTGCAATTTAAAGACATTTTGTCTTCTGAATCTGACAGGTCAGTGACAAACATCTCCAATTTGCTGAGGTCCAAAGATGGTATTTTGACAACTGCCTTTCCAAACATTAGTATCTTGGTAAGAATTTTCCTTACCATCCCCATTACAAATTGTGAAGGAGAGAGGTCTTTCTCTATACTATCTAGGGTGAAAAATCACTTGAGGTCTACCATGGGACTCTCCACCAAAATAGAGCAATGGCTATCCTTTTGACCAATCAGCGTAAGGGGTCTGAAATAAACGGAGAAGTGATTGGCTCGTCTTATTGCTGTCACGGTAAGAGGTCGTAAGTTCCGGCGCTGTTACCTCGTCCCGCTCTTAAAAGATTTAAGGCAGGAAAGGCGTTCTCTTGTTTATGATTGCGTCTCTCTCTCTCTGTATTGCTTTCACGTTGAGTTTCCTGTTCCAATTTCTCCTATTTTACACTAGCAAAATTGCCTGGCTTCACTCAGGTTTGGTATATACTGATTAAAACCTGCTAGACACGGGTAAACAACCTTAACCTGACTTACTAACCCAGCCCAACCTCACCTAAACATGACGTTGCTGTTTCTGGGTAAAGAGAAGTGTCAACATCAACCATACCAAAACCATGGAACCTCTCCTCTGACCTTGTCCCACCTCCCTCCATTACCTCGGGCCCCAACACACTCCAAGTTGTGAACTCCACCAAGCTCCTCGGTGTCACTATATAGTAGATAGCAAACTAAACTGGAAAGCACACGTCATTGTAATTGTCAAATCTTCCAGTTTTCGTCTCCACCTCCCCCGTCGCCTTAAGTCCCTCGGAGTTCATTTAACATTCATACTTCTCAAACTCACCTATGCCTCCCCTGCCTGGTCTTCCTCCCCAAATGCCACACAGTGAAAACTCATAGAAAAAGTGCAGAAGATGGTGTGCAAGATTATTCTCTCCCCTTCCTACTCCACATATCAAGAAACGCTCAACACCCTGACCCTCTCGGCTCTCTGACCATCACCACGACCTCATCTGAAAATTTGGGGAGAAGCTTCTACACCATCCTCGACACCGGCTCCTACTACCACCCGAGATCCCTGTCCACGAATTGCTGTTCGGCACAACAACCGCATCCAACCCATACGAGCACGCACTGATCACTATAAGAACAGTACAGTCCCAACCAAGGTAAAAATTATCAACACACCGGTATATACAGTCACACAAAAAAGAGAGGGAGAAGAAAGCAAACGGCTCTTGTTAAACAGATAAAGAAAAACAGCAATAAACAATAATAGCGTCTTTAACTGATGTTATAAGAAAAACTAAATAAAGTTAAGGGGATCATCAAGCGATGTTAAGAGTGCGGAGGCTATTAGTAAAATTAGACTTTATATTAAATATAGTGTGGGAGAAAGAGTAGCAAGAAAGTCAGAGTGTTCCATTACGTGTATTAGCCGAGCGTCTCCGGAGAGGCGCATCGTTTGTCCGGTGTCACATCGGATCCGATCTCACGTCGGCAAGATCAGCGCTCATTCACAAATTATCTAATCCAATTACGACACCGTCTCTTGTTTTTATAGACGAAAGAAAATGGACAACGTCGCCGCGCGTTAATATCGTCATTTATAACGCAGGCTTCGTCCATTACACTGATTTGCCCTCATTTTCTAATTGACCTCTGCCTTCCAGAGTCTGACGCGGCCGAGACTTGGGCTTGGCTCTTCCCACACCTCTTATTTCCTCTATCTATTTCCTTTTCTCTCTGCTCGAACGAACATAGTTTTGATTCGTTGATAATAACGAAAAAACAAAAATAATGAATTTGGCGATATAAGGTCTAAAGGAGAGCGGAGTTGGTGGTACGACACGTTAGAGGAGGAGGAGGAGGGAGCGTTGTCTGCCTGACTACACATAATAGCCGAGGTCCTTACGACGCCTCGCCTCCTTCCCTGGGTCCTCCCTCGCCGCTTCCTTCACTCCTCATAACCAGAGATGTAACGATGTTTGTCCGTTAATCCAATGTGTTAGTTGGCAGGTCATCGGACAGAGGGCAGCGCGGCCACTCCCAGTGACGGATGGCCCACGTCCACACACACTCACCGTCTTCCCGACCCACTGTGTGGTCCTGGCACCCGACACACACACACACACACTGTTGCCTCTAAAGACACACAAGCCGATAGTTTTCCCTCCACACAAACACCTACATGCATCCTCCAGAAAAAAACCCCACGCAACCTCCACACAGACATACATACATACATACACACAGGTTGCCTCCACCAGTACACCGTCAATGGGGGTTTGTTTATATCAATAGTACAGTAATAGTTCACTCAGTCATTTACAAAAAAGTCGTCAGTAAAGGTTTAAACTCCGGACCTGTGTATTGCCTGTCCTGTCCAGTTCAGTAAACACCGTACCACTCAACTCATCTAGGATTCATCTGTTATATCTGGGTAATCCTCTATCAAATATTATAAATCCTCAATTAAGTGATGCAAATCCTCCATCCTATTATACAAATCCTCTATTACATTTTGCAGATCCCTCTTATATACGGTTGATCCCCTCCAGTCTCTGCTAACCTGGCCAGAGAGTCGGATCATGGCGACCCTCCGGCAGCAGGTGACGTCTCTGTGTAAGGTGGGACTATATCACAAAAATATGATCTGCGTGAGACACATCGTTCCAGGACCAGAGTCCCCGAGGGAGGCCCCAGCAGGCCCTGACGACGATGGAAGAACTGCAAATTTCTCAAGAAAAGCCTGCTTCATCTAGGAGGCCCCCCACAAGGCTCTCCTGATGAAGGAGCAACTGATGCACTCAAAAAGGAAGTAAGAGAAACCAATAACATCTTGAAGGCCCCCACAAGGTCCTCCTGACTCCTGGTTATAACTCAAGAAACCGACAAAAGACCAGAACCATCCAGGCGACCTACAACTAACCATCCTAATGTTACAACATCCATAAATGGTTCAAGGTCACGTCAGCGGACACCTTTAGATTCTCCCGAGGAAGGAACAGCTACTGTAGCGACGTTTCAGGAAACAGGGAGCGCAGACAGCATTACCCGGCGAGAGGCCCGCTGACCACCGCCCCACACATCAATCAACCAGTCGCAGGTTCTTCTCTCCCTCCTTGTCTGACGGGCTTCTTGTGAGGCGGTGTGAGAGAGAGAGAGAGAGAGAGAGAGAGAGAGAGAGAGAGAGAGAGTATTACTATAGTACAAGAAGGCCAAACATCACAATGCCAACCAACATCACCACTACTCCCAGAAGAAGCACTGGACAAAACAATAGTACCACCTCAACCATCAGAAGCAACATTAACACTTGCTGCCAGAATGAACACCTACTACCACACACTACCGCCAACATCACTATCATAGGCAACACCCACCATCACCACCACCACCACCATCCTCACCACGTCCTTATCACCACTACCTATCCTCACCACCCTACTATCACCACCACCCCACCCCTACTATCGCCTACCACCACTCCTACTATTACCACCACCATCACCACCACCCCTACTATTACTATACCACCACCACCACCACCACCATCACCATCACCACCACCACCATCCTCACCGTCCTTATCACACTATACCACCACCCCTACTATCACCACCACCCCACCCCTACTATCGCCACCACCATAACCCCTACTATACCACCATCATCACCACCACCATCATCACCATCCTCACCACATCCTTTATCACCCCTACTATCGCTACCACCATAACCCTACTATTACCACCACCATCCCTACTAGCCACCAACACTGCCATCAACATCATCCTTACCGTTCCAGATCATCATCACCACCTGTACATCATGCTACCAGTCCCCCAGACTTGAGGAGCAGCAGCAGGAAGGGACGAGGCAGGAGGAGGAGGAGGAGGAGGAGCAGCAGTAGCAGCAGCAGCAGGAGGGAGCAGGAGGAGGAGGAGGAGGAGAAGCAGGAGGAGCAGCAGCAGCAGGAGGAGCAGCAACAGCAGGAGGAGCAGCAGGGGAGGAGGAGCAGCAGCAGGAGGAGGAGCAGCAGCAGGAGGAGGAGAAGCAGGAGGAGAAGCAGGAGGAGGAGGAGCAGGAGCAGGAGCTGGAGGAGGAGGAGGAGCAGCACAGGAGGAGGAGCAGCAGCAGGAGGAGGAGGAGGGAGGAGGAGGAGCAGGAGCGGAGGAGGCAGGAGGAGGAGAAGCAGGAGGAGGAGGAGGAAAACAGGAGGAGGAGAGACGGAGGAGAAGCAGGAGGAGGAGGGAGAAGCAGGAGCAGCAGGAGGAGGAGGAGGGGGAGGAGGATGAGCAGGAGGAGGAGGAGGAGCAGGAGGAGCAGGAGGACGGGAGGAGGAGGAGGAGCGGAGGAGGAGGGAGGAGGAAGCAGGAAGGAGAAGCAGCAGGAGGAGAAGCAGCAGGAGGAGCAGCAGCAG